TGTTATGTACAAGTAATATTTGTCATCATTGCTAATATCAATAAATTTTCAACATATATTTCATACATGCAAGATTCATTTAGCAGCAAAATACGCCTTTCTTGATCTGTGTATCTCATAGTGCAAATTAGTTCTTTGTAGGCATGATTTTTACCTTTTCCCAGTATGTTTTGTCATCACTGTTATGTACGAGTACTGTTTGTCATAATTAGCAACATAATTGTGATCGTCCACTGTCTTTGATATGACCTGATATCTGTTTCAAAGCAAAAGAAACCTCTCCTGGGTTTTTTTTATTCTTAGAGTGCGCATTTCTCTCTGGAGGCATGACTTTGTCTTTTCCTGTACATTGTGTCATCATTGTTATGTACAAGTCATGTTTGTCAACACTGTTATACATTTACAAGTCAGTCATCACTGTTATACATTTACAAGTCAACTCCATTGATTTTGTGCTTTTGCCTCATATAAGTTTAAAAATTGTTTTACACATATGTTTTTCTGGTACTGAGGCTTTGATAACTGTACTTGTACAGCCTTTCACTATTGTGATGTGCTGTCAATGATAATGTCCAATGTGTGTCCTTTCTTGTACATAACAATGATGACATGTTCTGAGCACTGCATCATTGTTACAAAGCTTGTCATTTATATTACCATTATGAATGGAGTTCATAGTTCATAGTGTACAAAGTAGCAATGACCACGAAAATCCTTTTTTTGCCAGAAAATGTTTGCACATAGGTGCATTTTGTAGCTTTATCTTCACTGAGCATAGGACTTTTTGAATTTTTAAAATCCATCAATAAACAAAAAAGTTACGGATTTTTTAATCAATTAATTTCTGGTACACTTTTATATAATGAAAAAACCCCAAAATATGGGACGTTCTTTGGTGAGTTTTGAGACAATATTCGTCATAACTCGCTCATTTCTCTGAGTATTTAAAAGAAACTTGGCAACCCAGTACATTTTCTAGTGCAGAATCTAGTCCTGCTTTCAGATTTTTCATAGCTATCCTATTTTTTGAGTTATGAAGACGTTTATAGGTAAAAATGTTGGCCTTTTTCGGTACGTTTTGAGACAATATTTGTCATAGCTCGCCTATTTTCTTGGAATATGTAAATGAAACTTGGCAGTCTAGTACATTTTTTAATGCAGAATTTAGTCATGCAGTCAGATTTTTAATATCTGTCATACTTTTTGAGTTGTAAAGACATTAACAGGTAAAAAAGTGGCGTTCTTTACAGATTTACAAAGATTATCAGTCATATGTTCTCCCAAAGTCATGATATTTGAATGAAACTTGGCAACATAAAAGGTTCTTCCTTGCAAAGCAATATTCTGGATCAATTTGTCACAAAAATGTAAGTAGAGAGCTACTTAACTAATAAATCCAGTTTTGTACTAGTAAAAGCATGCATACTTTGTTATAGAAAATAAGATCGTCTCTGTGTATATCCATTGTTGGACAGTGTCCTATTGTGTGGTAGATTAAGATGCGTTCAGATAATATAGTTTACAAGTCATGGGAATATTTCGCATGTGTAGGCTACAACTCATACAATAAATGTAACATATTTACACCCCCCCCCCCCCTTCTCTCTCTCTCTCTCTTTCTTTCTCTCTCTCTCTCTCACGCGCGCGCACTCACGCACGCACGCATGAACGATAACAATGTATAAACGGGACTATCTTCCCAGACTGGACTAAAATTTAATAAGTACCATACTCTTTAATAACAATCTTAACGCCTCACTTTTCCCAAACAGAGCACACAGGACGAGTCCAAGTGTGTGCTTTCCCAAGAGGGGGGGAATAGGCTTTCATAACGCAAACACAATGCCATACCACTTCTCAAGATGTTTGCTTTTCTGTTTCTATTCTTCTGTCATGCAATCAAGCAAATAAAAATGACTACATCTATTGTATTGTGACTAAAATGCAACAAAAACGCAAGTTATCAAGGCCCCCGTTTAGTTTTCAAGTATCCTTCCCCCCCTTTCCATTTCACATAAGCGGGGCCTCGTTTGTAGCGCCCGAGGCGACCGATGGCTGATGACGTCACTCAGTGGAAATTTCCACGCCGCCGGCCGTTCACCCAGCACGCGCAAATGGCAATGTCGCTTTTTTCCTTAGTTACTCCCACATTTTTAAAGATTACGCCAAAACCGCTAAACACAGAAGCATGACATTTTAAGGGAATAAAGAAAAAATCAGTCAGTTTGACAAATCACAGCTCTGAAAAACCTTCAAAGCGCACCACATCAACCACTTTCGCAAACGTTTTCGACTGCTTCTAGGATGGGTACAATGTTGTCAAACTGCATACTACGAGATTGACCTCTTTTCTGATTGGCTGCCAAGTTTCATTCATATCCATTCACGAGAAGCGGCGTGAGAGCGAGTTGAAGACAACAACCTTTGTGTTAGTGCGTCCCATGAAACACCCCCGCTGCGGGGGCCAAAAATCGGCAGAACAAAATGCGCTCGGTGGGCATTGCTATACAAAGTCTTTGTTTACTAAACAAATGGAATTTAAAGTCCATAATTTGCATTGCTGCTTATCTGTTTTTGTCATCACTGTTAACTCACTTGCGACTGGGCCCTTTCACCAGCCACAAGCGTTGAAGACTGGCGTTTTGGGGGGTATTTCAATAAATCACCACAACTCTCAGAATTACCCTATTGTAATCATTTTTTGACACAGTAAAGTAACATTCAAGCTTAATCTAATACAAAAAACTAAAGTTGTCTAAGTCTAATACTTTAATTTGTATGATTTTTTAAAAATTGGCATGAATTTGATTTTCGAAAAATTTCCAGAGACGTGGCAAGTAGAATGAAATTCACTGCAACAACAAAAATAAAAGTTCAAAGTGTTCTGGTTTGATTTGTATACATGTGCAAGTGTTTGGTGAAAATATATAAAAGCTGGTCTGTGCATTGATTCAGACCCATACACTGAATTACATGAGACAGATGTACGGCACGACGTTGTGATTTCGTTGCGCGAAAAACAACACCGGTACTAGTGCTAGATCTAGCCCTAGAACTACGACTCGGGCCGTGTTCGGGTACATATCCAGGATCCTAACTATTAGACACATCATATTCTGAGACACTAGAACTAATAAAACGCACAGAAGTATAGAAAACAGCGAAATTATGTGATTCTTGTTCATGCGACTTCTTCGACCGTTACTACGACGCGACTGTCGGATTACTATGAGCTGTATAGAAAAAAACAAAGCGCGAGTTCCGGTCTGTTCAACCCCAGTTGGGGTCACTGTCCTTCACCTTCAATAACTTAAAAACTACCGGCCCCAGAGATACGAAACGAAGTCTAAGTAGCTCAGGCTTGGCCAAACAAGGGTACGAGGCGGGTCTCGCGATCCGTGCGTGATTTGTAGAGCGAAAAAAAAATTCCAAAGTTGGTCACGCAGGGCTTGTGAGACCCGACGCGAGCGTCATGGCGGGGGTCACGCAACTGTTGTGTGACCCGTCTGAAGTGAGTTAATACAAGAAATACAGTGGTTGCCAAACCAATAGACCCATCCACCCCAAAACCCTACATCTCCTTGCTCTGATACTCTCGGAATATGAGCACTAAATGTCAATCTGTGACTGACAGAAAAGGGAGTCAAATTGGTAAGAAAAATGTTTTTGCACCACTGAGTCTCAAAAGAGTCTCAGGTTTTGGCAATTGCTCTGGAACCCCCCGATTGGTCCAAAGCATGTCTATCTCGGTTAAAAACAATCAAATATTTCAAAAACTATAAATTTGCGACGGAAATGAAGTTGATATTCGTGTTCAGCGCATCAATATTTAGTAGAAAATAGACAACTGGTAGCTGAGTGGTGTGAGACGGGAGGGAAAGTAAAAAAAATACCCTTTGTAGTCGATAAAATTAGCTTACTTTTGTGCTATAACGTAAGGCCAGCTCTATTCTCACCCCGGGAGAGAATAGTGTAGGCGAGTCTTTCGGCTATTCTCACCCGGTGTGCATTCACCGTTATTAAATAGCCTAGATCTAGGCCAACCAATTTTGCGTTCACCCTAAACCACAGAATTCTACACTGTGATAACAGAAAAATTGTAGAATTCTGTGCCCTGAACAAACGTTCCATTACTACTGTTAGCCTACTAAAAGCGTACAATTTTTTCTGTGGGCAGTGGGGAGAGAGAGAGAGAGAGAGAGAGAGAAAGAGAGAGAGAGAGGAGTAGGCCTAGCGCGAGAACTTCCGGGCAAAACAAAATGGCGACCCGCGTAGTTCGGCTCTATTCGAAAAGTTAAATAGCCGTAGCATCTTTGTAGACGACCTAATTAATTTACTTTTGTGTTTTCACATCATTTTTTTTACTTTGTTTTGGTCAATTTGATCGTCCACACCGATATAGACAGTATTCAGAAAGAGATAGAGAGAGAGAAGAGGGGAGGAGTAGATCTTGCGAGAACTTCCGGGCAAAACAAAATGGCGACCCCCCGTAGTTCGGCTCGATTCGAAAAGTGAAATAGCCATAGCATCTTTGTATTCGATAAAATTTTAATTAGCTTACTTTTACTTTCGTGCTATGTCACGTAATCTTTTCTTTGCCTTTATCCATTTGATCATCCACATCGATAGAAAGTATTCCGAAATTAGGAAAAACAGGTCTTGTTTCACACCGGGTGCCGGGTGAGAATAGCCTACGGTGGCAAGTCTCACCCGGGGTGAGAGGTCAATCGTAATCTATTCTCACTCTCACTTCCTTTTTTTACATAAGCCATAAAAGCCAACTCTGTCTATTGCCAACAAATGCCTTCCATTGACAAATACTGACTCAGGCATTACAAGGACTCATTCAGTCCAATTAAGGAGCACGCATGTTATTTTCATTGCTCCCATTCCTCAGAATTCCTATCAAACACTTACACCGTAGCCTACTGGCTACTCATCATCATCTCTAGAGATTCTATAGACTCATCTGTCATCATCAATGATACTGATATACTCACCAAAAACAAAAATATAAACAAACATCGAACATTCAGGCCAACCAGCCATTGTTCAGGACAGTTTTCGGTAGCCCAGATCAAATGCAATCAATGCAACGCCTATCTGAATGAACGTTCATTGCGTAAAAAGTCAACTGAAAACATGAGTGGTATCCGTATCATGAGAAACAAATGAACATCTCTATTCATCATAATCGGCCGCCATCTTGTGTGGCCTGCGCACAGCATTGCAATAAGAAAGTCAACGCTAAAGTATAATAGTTCGCAAACGTATACTGCTGTTTTTAAAATTTTAAGAAATAAGGTTTGCATATGTTTTCTTCAGATGATAAATGATTATTTGTAGCAGATTAACGTTCATTTTACCCTAGTAATTCATTTTATGAAGAAAAAAGTTTTTATTATGATGATAACGTTTGTATTACTGCGCCACTTTGATCTTGTTCATTCAACTCTGCTCGGCAGCCACCGCAAGACTTTGGTACCTGAGATCGACCTCTTTGATCGAACCGACAAATGAGGGGACTACTTCTACATTAAATTTGAGTGTGAAGTTATTCGGAAGAGCTCGGAACCAGGATAGGGTAGCCAAGGGTACAGCTCAGGTACCCTTTGCGCCCTCACGCAACAGATCTATAAATCAATCAATGGTGATCCTAGCTAGTATGGTACAGCCAATTATTATTTTAATTTTAGTCAAAACGGCACGGCGGCTCATGTAGTTTCTTATTGTGCGCGTTCTTCTTTGACTCTGCTGACTCTGAGATCTATAACTTTTCAACAACTTATTAGAAAACAGATTTTAATTATTATTTTTTTTAAGTGGTTCCCATATTTTTAGTCTGTCAGATTCACCAGCTGGGAGTGGTGAAAAACAGAGACCCCCAAGCCTTCAAATTAATATTTTTTTAAAATATTGATTAAAAACATCATGAAAAATCCCCCTATAGTTCACGTTCTATTAATCCAACGACATGCATACTTAGGATTTCATGTTATTTTATTTTCCTTTTCCATTTTAACTATTTTGACATTTTGGACATATAATAATATACACACGTATGTTATGGACCTAAGGTAACATGTTATAAGATTATCATGCGCTTATAAATGCTATATTCTCCGCCACCTTGATCCCCTCCTCCTCCCATGTGTGTGTGTGGGGGGGGGGGGGGGTTACGTGCGTATCTGCGTGTGGATGTGTGCGTGTACATGAATAAGTAGTCCGTATGAGTATGACGCCCTATTATTATAATGAGTTCCGACAAAAAATGTCCCAGAAAAAAAAGATAAAACGAAAAAAAAAATTACAACACACACACACACACACATATACACACACACACACACACACACACACACACACACACACACACACACACACACACACACACACATAAAACGTTACTTTGGTTTGTGCCGGCAGGGCCGCGTTAACTTAGTGCGGGGCCCTAGGCTGTCCATGAGCCGCGGGGCCGGGGCCCCTCGATGACGTTGATGCTACTACTACCACATTGTGACCCCGTACTGATGGAAAGCTATACTGTACAACGTGATTAGATGTAGGCCTACCGGTATCCACCAATAATGTGGATTAAGACGACGACAAGCACAGAATGTTATAGTTTTCGGCCTAGCGCCTAGGCGTAGTTAAAAGACAACTTCGGAAAACACATCAGCAGCAGCCACAATTACAGCAACAGCGGTAGCATCAACATCCTTCTCATCAACATCAACAACAACAACAACTGTAAAAAGTACAGCGATACAAACAACAAATAACAACAACAATTTAACAAGAGGACAATTATATTTGGTTGAAAAACATTTTTTAAACGTCGTGTTTGCAAGCGCGGGGCCCCCTGAGGTGCGGGGCACTAGGCTACAGCCTAAACAGCCTTACGGGTAACGCGGCCCTGTGTGCCGGGGACCGAAGTATGCAAATTTATTTGAGTAGGCGCCATGGTAGGCGCCTATTATAACAGTATGAGGGGGATGAGGATCGAATAATACATGTACACCGCACAGTACTAACATGACATGTTTCTTTGCAACTAACTGATCCTCCCAGTTTGGAATAGCACACACGAACGAAAATAATATTATGTTTGGTATGTGTAATCCATTTCTAAGCCAGGGGTCACCAAACTTTCCTTTAAAGGGGGGGGGGGGGGGGGCTCTCGTGGTCAAGAGGTTAAGGTGTTCTTCTCTCATTCAATAGGTCCCAGGTTCGAATCCGGCGATAGCGACGGAAAATTTTCTTCTCTAAAAATATAATCTTACACCTGGAAGGGAGGGGGGGGGGTGTCTTTGGCTCCTGTAAGAAAAGTGTAAGAAAGGGGGGGGGGGGTCTAGAACTAGTGTAATATATTACTATTACACTTTTGTGAGGGGACACAAATAAACCCCCCCAAAAAGGGTGCCCTAGGTCAAAAAAGGCTGGGTGTGCAGAGGCCACAATAAGGAATGTGGAAAATATTTTCCGAGTATTACAGCATATAGATCTAGGCACAGGGATTTACACTGGAAGAAATGGAGGTGGAGGAAGAAGAGGAGGAAGGAGACAGAGCAGGAAGTTTGGAACAGGACCCTTTGGAAGACAGCTCATTAGATGCCTCTGTTTTTAAAAAAATATTTTTGACATAATGATGAAAACTGCCTTTGTTGGTGATAACTAATTTCACTTTTTGTTTTAAGCATAATGATCAGTAATAACAGATGCAGTGGAATCCTGATAAAGTCCAACTCTTGCTTACAGTCAACACCTCACTGTGGTCCCATTTCTTACCTTCTTTGTTTAATTAAGTAATTGTGTTCCTGATACATGTACAGTCAACTGCTTGAGTGTTAACCTTGCGTAAAGTCAACAATTTGGGGCTAAATCCCAAGATTAATTCATTTAAGAAGAGACGTCTTGAGCTAGTGGTGTACACACCTCTAATAACATTAAAATTGTTCACTCATTCTTGTTTTGGTGACAACTTCAGAATTATACTCACTGAATGAGCTATACATCTTGTTACCAGACAGTTTGTAATTTTCAGCTGTCATCTTCAATTTTCAATGGCGAGTAGTACAATGGATAAAGTCAACCTTGCTCAAAGTCAACCCTTTTTTTCGGTCCTGAATTCCATTGTAATTTGTTTTATTAGTAGTATAAGGCGCTTTTGTTATTGACATGGGTCTCAATTTCTTCCTAATTAGATCTAGTAAGAATTAAGAGTGTATGCAATATTGTGCTTGAATGATCCACTCTGTTATTTAAAAAAAATTAAATGTAGAACTGCATATTGTTATGTGCATACGTATGATATCTGTGTATGTGTTCCTCGCAATTTACCGATCTTAAGATTGCGCTGCACGTTTTAACGATTATATATATACATATATATATATATATATATATATATGTGTGTGTGTGTAGTGTTTTCGAAAAAGTTTTCAAGGTTCACATTGTATAATTTTAGTACACGTACAGTGGGTGTCGCTTTCAACGAGGTTGCCGGGATCGTCCGGCTTGTTGTCCTCGTTGGATCCGACCTATCCTTGAACGTGACTAAGTCTAAAGACAATATAGGAGGCACGTTATTATATTACATGATGTACCAATACCATTAATTAAAACATTTGTTCCCCCTGACGACGAAAATCTCAAACAGCATCAGTGTGCGCGTGCTTGGGCTGTGTTCTGACTGTCTTTACTGCATTAAATTTTTTACCCCCGTTACACTTCTCGTGTGGAAACATACCCTCTCACATCTAGGCCTAAGTCTAAATAAAGTAAAGATAGGAGCTTGGACTTTCTGATCAGGGTAAGAAAAGAAATTTGGAAAAAAAAATGGCCTTGATCTAGACCTACCCATCCAGAGTTCATCCAGTTTCTCAGTCCGCATCGCGTTCCCACCCACCCTAGGCCTTTTCAGTATCGCTGCTATCCCTCGCTCATCTTCTTGGCTTTGGGGACATTATATTAGTATTAGTACATGTGTATTAGGAGGCACACTAGATAGCGATACAATGCATTGGGAATGAAGGATGTGCCTTGTACTTCGCATGAGATGGAGAGAAAGGAGAAAAATTCTTCGGTTTTGAGGCTGCTAATTGCTTTTATTTGGTTATCGTGACCTCGTTGAAAGCGACTTTGGTCTGTTTGCAACCTTGTTGGAGCTGACGTACATTAACAAAAAGGTATAGAGGAAAAATGGGGGATTAAGGATTGCCTCGTTGGAGCCGACTTCTCGTTGAATGTGACCTCGTTGAATGCTTCACCCATTGTATTAAACTACATTGTTTAGTTTTAATAAGTGTTTTACTGAACTTGCAACATAATAAGGTCATATAAGTGCCGAAGATTAAAGGTGTTACAGGAGAGTAATAAACACAAAAAAGGTGGAGTGGAGACAGAGACGATAAGATTTTTTTTTAGGAAACAAGGAGCAAACCTCACCGGAGCACCCACTAACCACCCACAATATACTACATCATACACGATAACACATACTATCCCTCCACTAAGTTAAAACGACACTGTTCAAGGGTCTGTTCACTTTTTTTTTGACCGCGCAGTTCCTTGCATTCTTTGACTTTGAAGAACAGCTTTAAAAAAAAAATTGTAATCTGATTTTGACATGATACTATGATACAATCTCCCTATGCACAAATTGCAATTTGACTGACCTTAGAAATTTAATGTCTTATTTACTTATTAAAATTTTAATCTCTGCACGTTATGCGGTTTATTCATAGAAAGAACAGAAACATTAAATAGGTTTTATTTTATGGTTATAGCACAAAAAGAAAGGTGTGTATGTGGAGGGGGGGGGGGGAGACAACCTTTAAATTCGCATCCATGTTTCTCAGCCCTATTAACTCTGAATGATAATATCGACAACACACATGTACATCGAAGTTTCCGCCTAAAAAAAATACCCGGGTTCTTAAGCGGATTCGAAGGGGCACAACTCCATTCCCACTAAAGAATAACAGTTAGGTCCTTGGTTATCTCCCTTGATTTAATTGTCGAAATGTGCACCACTGAGACTGAATGAGTGTGAGGTGAGGAAGATGAATGACGTTTTTTTTTTTTTTTTGGTTGTAATTTTATTAACATTTAATGCATACAACGTAGTGTAAGTGTGCGCATACTGCGAGTATTATTACGTGATGTTTGAGGTACAAGTGAGAACCAGTGGCCTCAAGACTTATGTCCCTCGTCGAATGGTAGGCCTACTATCCCTCCTTGACCCATCTTCTTATACTTAAAGAGGGCTTATTAAAATCATTTTATAAATGAAGGAATAAGACAGAGTCTGATCAGATTTGTATGAGTGGTTTTGCATGTTGTCAGGTTAAAGTATTGGGGGAACCCAATTTCCATCATATTTTCTCCAACTCCAAAATTACTGTGCATGAAACAACTGCTCCAAGTCAAAATTGGTTTGCTGTTGTATCTGTTGTCAGTTCTGGTGTATTGTTTTGTGTATTTCCTTTTCAATCGCGGCAAAGTGAGTGCTCAGACGAGCAGTGAGTCCGTTTAGTTGCATGAAAGTCCTCAGGGTATCCACCGAGTTCAGCACTTCCTCAAGTGTGGGCGCTGGCGTTGTTGACTTTGTTAACACTCCTTCGTCCTTTGCATTGTTGCTGTCACTGCTGTCTGTCCTTTCTGTCTTAGGAGCAGTGGTGGTAGCAACTGTCTTCTCATTCTCGGCACGAGAACATACTTCCAGATCTTGATGATGATGATGGTGATATTGGGAGACTAGATCGAACTCTTCGCACTCTTGTTTGATGATCACTTTTGACTGATTTTCTCTGTGTTCCCTTTCTGTTTCGGACATCAGAACATCACTTTGGGAGACTGGATCCAATTCTTCGCACTCCTGTTTGATGTATGTCGACTGAATTTCTCTGTGTTCACTCTCACTCTCAGACATCTGATCATCAATTCGGGAAACTGGATTTAATTCCTGGGACTGCTGTTTCTTGATGTCCGCCGACTGACTCTCTTCGCGGCCCTTCTTGGTCTTTACCACCAGTCCGTGTCGCTCTTTGAAGCGGTTGAGCCAACCGGCCGACGGTTCGAACTCCTGGCCCATCTCTCGAGCAAATGCAGTGGCCATCATTCTCAGACAGCGTAAGTTGAGAGGGGACCCTGGCTCTAGTTTCGGCTTGATCCACCTATACAGCGCCTCGTCAACGTTTTGTTGTTTGAAAGGTCTCTTGCGTTTTTGCGACAGGCTTCCTCTTTCATAACGGTCAAGCACGACTTCTCTTGCTTTCGAAATTCTCGAAACAGTAGTCCGGTCAATATCGAACTTCTTGGCAACTGCTGAGAAATTGATTTTCTGCCCTTTCTTCTCTTGGTTCGCAATTTCCTCAAGAATTTCGAATTTCTTGCGAGTGTCGAGGGAATTTCCACGTCGAGGCATCGTCAAGTGTTTTGTGGTGTTATTATTTCCTTCTACTACTAGATCTACTACCGTTCTTGTACTATTCTTTAGCTCGACTCGATCTGCAGTGTCGTCAAGCAAGGGCAAGGAATGTAGAATTGTGGAGTGAGGCTGAGGGAGGAAGGGGGATATCATGTTCTATTGGTCCAAACGACGCGTTGACCACGTGACAGAATGAACCAATCGAAAACCGCAAAGCAATAGACCCGCCCAGAGGAGCTCTCTTTTCAGTTTTCAGTGCATGATGCACGTAGACCGCTTTGCCTTAACTGTGTAGCCTACTGTACTTAAAGTTTGTGTACGTGTAGAGCCAGGAAATAGGCAAGGCCAAGATTTCGTCGTCTGCTAGCCTAGCCCACTCCTCTCTCTCTCCCTAATTTCACAAAACTAAAACCCACCCTCTCTCAATCTTTCCTTCATGGTCTGTCGAGGAGTGATGCACTAGGGTTGCTGTTAAAAAAGTGGAAAATGGGTACGAGGAGAATGCCTGCTTCTTTTAGTTGTTTTTTAAAATTGCCAATTATGCCCTCTCATTCTCACCCAACTACACAGTGTTTCATCGATTTTCGCAACATTACAGATTAATATTATGCTGTGTTGGTCCGACCTCTTTTTTATGCGAGTGTGGTGGTAAAAACCGGGCTTTAAGGCGAATAGTTATTTTTAGAACGGGCTCTTAGTCATGCAAATTATTCTGCTATATGGCTACACGGCAAAAGATCCGAGGCCTTTAGGCTAAGATTGGTTGGGTTTGGGTTTTTACGAGGTGTGTCGGATATTGGTCGCTTTTAAGGACAATGGACAAGGGGGCTCACCCAGATTTCGGGGGTTCCCAGAAATCTTGACCTACACCAAAAGTGGGCATTGCCCTAGATCTAGGCCTAGAGAAAACTCTCCTGGTCTTTTCAAGAAACTGAACAAGGGGCAAAAACTTTACCTTCGATTTTCTCAAGTGCTTAAAACCGACCATATCGCAGTGCTGTATCTTAAAAAAAAAAAGAATTACGTGCTGGTCTAATAAGCGGGTCCATGTCTATGTTCCCTTGCCCTATGTTCCCTAGGTCTATGTTCCTTCAGCTCTATTCAAGTTACACGATGACCAAAGGTCAACTAATGGTCAGAGGGACCAGTGGTCAAGCAATGGTCAGTGTGACAGTGTTCAAGCAATTGTCAAAATGATCATTGGTCAAGCAATGATCGGAGTGACCGGTGGTCAAGCAATGTTAGGAGTGACCAGTGGTCAAGCAATTGTCAGAATGACCTGTGGTCAAGCAATGGTTAAACTGACCAGTGGCCAAGCGTAAGTTTTCCCGAAATGACTATGGACATTACAGAGCTAAGGGAACATAGAGCTAAGGAACATAGGGCTGCCTCGTAATAAGCAATGATTGCCGCTGAGCATTGATCAGAGTCTGTTCTGCGTGAATGTGATAGTAGCTAGAGTAGACTGTGTTTTGCAACTTTGCATAAGATGATGTTAAGCGTTAGGCTAGGCCTACTAGGTAGCCAATTAGAATTTAGAGAGTCGGAATATATTATAATTAGAACATTAGGGAAAGGGTGGTTGGTGAGTGTTCTGGTGTAGTTTGCCCCTTCGTCTTTCTTATCAAACATGCAGCTACCGCGATTATTTGATTCTTCTCCTTTTTTGTTGTTGTAATTGTTACTCTCTCCTCTGATCTTCGGCACTTATACTAGCCTACCGATTGTGTTGCAAGTGCGTAAAACGCTTTCTAAAACGAAGAGACGCGGTACGTCCTTGTTCCTTGGGAGGCTCACCAAAGTTATTATCATACAGACTTCAACATATTAAGTTAAGGACCACTTGCAAACACTCTGAGTGGTGTTCTTGGGTCGACCTATATAACACGTGGGCGTTCTTGGACTGATGATCCAGTAGCTTGATACATGTAATATGGCGCTGCCTGAGGCGGACAATGTGAATGAGAGAGTATGACACTGCAAGCCTTCTGGCAACTTCTCGGGCTCCAACTCCACCCTGCAGCCATGCCATAGCTCTGGCACGATCAAAGTCTCTCAGCTTTCTTCTTGATTACACGTTGATGAGATACTGGATTTTGTGCAAATGGCGGCTTATATTGCCACCAAAGTGAGCCACAGTTCGAGACCGTATGTCCGATTATGACGTGCAACAGAAATGTTAACTGAGGAATGTCCGTGGTGTCGCACCAGAGAGTATTTAATTATACACGTCGATAAAAAGCAGCAAATTTGGCTAAAATTCCCCAAGGATTTCCATGCGGCACGTGATGGTTTTGCAGGAAGCATTGCAGTGCAGTACGCATTGTTAGCCCACTTTCAAAGCAAAACACTTTGAAACATTCCTTGCTGTCTTTCTTTCGTAAAAAAAAAAAAATCAGGGCTATCTAATGTCTTTCAAGATGGTCCTTAACTTTTGTTGAAGTCTGTAGCCTAGAGTGTTGCGCAGCTTTTCATTATTATTATTATTATTATAAAATCATTTATTTTATGGATGTTTTTGTTTTGACACCTCTTTCCGATCTTTTCCACAAAAAATGACAAGCAAATGAAAAGCACATTATATATATGGAGCAGAAGAAAAACTACTTGCTAAATAAAAGTAGATCTGCATGTGTATAGTTGGCAAAGTGATTCGGGTCTCAGAAAATGAAATGATAAATTACGGTTGGCAACTCTGGGCTGAATGCCGAATTGTATGAAGACGAAACAAAATGAATGGTCGTCACGCCCACTCTGCACTCGGCACAACTTGACAACAATAATTAATGGAATACTGCACAATTGTACGCCACAAAACGATGACGGATAACAGTATCACTGATTCACAATGAGATCGTTAGTTTATTAATTTCATTTGTAACCAGGTCCAGTGACCAGTTTCCATCGGGTTTCTACACCTCAACGTTCACTCACGAATACAATTATCGGGAACTCGAACGATCTACAGTCTTCATTCTTAGAACTTGGACATCTTTAACTTTAACAGTGTTGTTGAAGTTTAGTCTGGTCAGGAAAACGTTTGGAGAGGTGTCGAGTATCATAATTTCAGCAGTTGGCTAGCTCTCTAGATCTATCTAGAACTAGATATCTAGTAGTGAATAACATGTCAGCAGAGACAGAGTTGATCGAACATACAGGCGGGTGTCATTGTGGTGCAGTTCGGTTCCGAATCAAAGCGCCAGCTGAGGTGACTGTATACGACTGCAAGTAAATATTTGTTTGTTTACATGGTTGTCTGTCGTGAAGATTAAATTCTTAAACTTTTGTCAAACTTTTGGTTTAGGCTTTTAGAGATCCCGATCTATCTTTTTTCTTTTCTTGTTATTCTTTTGGTTGTTGATGGAGTATTAGTCTCTCTAGTTAAAATGGCAAATTCAGCCAATATCATGTCTACAGTAGAACTCGGATTCAACGAGGTCGCCAGGCCTGACCTAAAATTTCGTTGAATCTGAGTGTTCGTTATAGCAGACATGAGGTTTTGTGTAGATAATTACAGGCACTAAGCAAGTAATGCATAAAGAGAAGTCACAAGTTTATTATGAGCTGTGTAAAAAAAAGACAGATTCGTTCAAATGCACACACCTGAGTCATCTCGATTGTTTACCAAAAAGTTGTATTGCTGTGTAGAGCCTAGCATACGGCAACTTTTGATTCCATAGACCAGCGCACAATTCATTACGTAGATCTACGTCAAGACTAGCTTATCATTGTTATTGTGATCAGTTGCTGAGGGGAAAAAAAAGACTGACGCGTTTGTATCTGCGACGTTCAACGCCCGAACCGCTAGCCCCCCCCCTCTCTAACACACACACACAGCCACACGTGTGCAGGCCGCCCATCCGACCCCAACACACGCCAGAGTAGACTTCTGCGCGTGCCAACAATGCATGTGTTGGTGTGGAAAAAGGCCACTGATTGGTCGCATGCAATCGGGTAAGTGAATAATGGTTCACATTGCAGGTGCAATGGATGGTTTTCGAGAATAGATGAATTTCGTTCAGGGAGAAAAATGAGTGAAGCCACGTCTGCGGGGGCTGTTCACCCTGGAAGCGACCTCGTTGAATCCGAGCTCGCTGATTTAAGTGCTCGTTGAATCCGGGATATTTTTATTGATTTTAAAGAAGAAAATTAAATGGGGAATCTATCTAATCTCATTGAATCCGAGTTCTCGTTGAATCTGAGCTCGTTGAATATTCGAGTTCCACTGTATCCTGAGAGGGTGTGCATGAGCTTCTGCCCGGCTAACAATTTTAATGCAGCCATGACATCAATTGAGGTCTGCAGGTAGAGCTGGATGCAGTTTTTGTAAAATGTAAGGTAGCTGTCGTTATTAGTAACTGTCGCTGTTGAAGGTCCTCATAGTCATAGGAGATTTTTTGTTTGTTTTGGTGTAAGTGTTTTACGGCGCTCACAACTGCATATAAGGTCAAATGAGCATGCATATATATGGTCAAATGAGCGCGCTGGACACAAACATTTTTGGTTGGCAGGAGACTTAGGAAACTCTGAATTTTGCCCGGGTGACGGCCAAAGCCTACTCTTATTGATTTTAGACCTATGGGATCTTTAACGTGCTAGCGCAATTTGCACACGGGACCTTCTAGATTTTTCGCCCTGTCCGAGAAGTTTAGGTATTGATCTTTCCTACTAAAAGATAAGGGGTGTGGCTAAAAGACAGCAGTAAGATGGAGCAAAGGAGTTGCAGTAGAAAGGCTGCAGAAAGAGTCAGGAACCCAGAGGAGGGAACAAAGGAGGTAATGGGGTGGGGGCAGAAAGTGGAGACAAAAGCAGATGACAGAACATTGCTAGAGAGCAGGAAAGGAGGTGAAAGGAGACAACTTAAGAGAAGAAAATTTTTTCTGTCCCTACTCGACTCGGATTCGAACCCGGGACCTTTGAATGAGAGGCTAACCCTTTAACCTCTAGACCATGAGAGCCCCCCATAGGGGAGCACAAAAACCCCCATGCACACATTGTCTTTAAAAAAAAAAAAATCTTCCTTAAATCCAGTAATCAGTAAGCAGATCTCCGTCATTTTACCCCACAAACATATCAAATGTGTGAAATAATGATGACCTAGAAAATGAGACGTGTTTGATTTTGGAGCATATTTATTATTCAATTATTATGGGAAATTAGTAGTAGCACTTTTTTTTGGTAGGCCTTAGTGTTTCACAGCTCTCACAACTGTATAAGGTCATATGAGCGCTTGGGACACATACTGGTAATTAAACATTTTCAGTTGGTAGGAAATTTTTAATTTTGCCTGGGTGGTGACCGAAGCCTACTCATTGATTTTGGACCACCAAGGGATCTTTAATGTACACAACTTGCACACGGGACCCCCAAGATTTTTCACCCTTGTCTGAAAAGGCTAGGTGTAGATCTTTCCTACCATAAGATCTGGGGTGTGGGTGGCTGAAAGACAGGAGTAAGAAAGAAGCAGCCAAGGAGTAGCAGGAGAAAGAGTCAGGAGCCCAGAGGAGTTGGCAAAGGAGGTGAGGGGGATGGGGTCAGAATGTGGAGACGAAAGCCGACGACAGAACTTTGTTAGAGAGCAGGAAAGGATGTAAAAAGGAGACAATTTTAGAGAAGAAAATTTTCCGTCGCTGTCCGGATTCGAACCCGAGACCTATTGAATGAGAGGTGAACACCTTAACCTTTAGGCCACGAGAGCCCCCCTTGTCCCTCCCTAAAGGAAAATATAGTTCCCCTCAAATGTATAAAAAAAAAAAAAGTTAAATGTAGATTTGAAGAAACTTTATGCTATGTGTGCATTGCCGGTAACGTACTTCACTCTGGTTTATGGATGATTTTATGATTTTGAGGCTTGAGCAGTATTGGCACATCGTGAGCCAGCTGTACGGATACCAAGTCCAAAGTTTTGAATAAAAAAAAAAAAAAATAGCAGTGCATATGGTATTGGCTGCATGTGTTCGAGAGATAATTTGTCAAAATTCAGTTTCCAAATGTTGAAAAAAAGTGAGAAAAATAGACCTACATAATTTAGGTAAATTTAAAAGAAGGGAGTGCTTATTTGGGCCACATATGGCCTAAATAAGGTAAGGGAGGGGGGTTTAGCTTATTTAGGCCACACATGCTCAAACTACCAGGGGACACCTTTTTAAGGCAACTGAGTTCGTTCCACTTTCATAATGGTGCACCTTTCTCATTTAGTACAGTTTTGTCTCAGTGTACAACTTATATATATCATAATGAATATTGTAAGAACAAAGCACGATACGCAAAGTTTTGCTCAATCTCAATGGTTTGAATGAGGGCCAGATTTTTCCTTCATGGAGGGGCAAAATCTAGGCTACCATTTTGGCACACTTTGGTCAAGTAAAAAGGTCAAATCCTCCGAATGGACTTCCGGGTCAAATTTGGGGTATAAAAAGTGTGTACACAACGTGGCTGAGTCAAAGTTACACTATCTTTGCCTGGGTGGCACTCTCTCGTACTGTCTCGTAGTAGTACATCTCTCGTACTGTCTAGTAGTAGTAGCCTACATGTAGATGTAGTAGTAGTAGTAGTAGTAGTAGCAAAGATCGAGAAGAATCTTTGGTAGTAGATTCTATCTAGTAGGCAGTTTAGTGAACGTGCACGCGGCAGGGCGAATCGGCCTCGATAAGCCCGTAGACCTTTGTGATCGGCCACGAAGCCTTGTGTTTTGATGGGTCTAAACAACTTAGTGTTAATCGCACTGCCACATCCGACAGGCCTTTATCTTTTTAAAAGGAAAAGAAATGGTCATCAAAATGGTTGAATTTGCGTGAAAATCGATTCGGTAGAACTGTAACTATTAAAATTTGCTTCTGAAAACAAGTTACAAGGCCATTTTTATAACTCGATGAGATAAAAACTACTGGCTGTATTATTCTGTATAAATTATGAAACTTCAGGACGTATTATTATTTTCCAACATCTTTTGCCGCCTTAGCTGTAGAGGTTGAAGTTTTCACAACACTAATAGATCTAGTAATAGGGCTTTCCGTAAAAAATGCATAGATCTACAAAAGCCGAACCACCGAATCGACCGGTCAGCGACCCGGGCACCCCGCTCTCCCCTGCACACTGTGATAACATGTTGCTTCGGTATAATTATTCAACTATTAATACGTGCTGCTATGGCAATTGGGATGTACTGACTGACAAAGCGATTCACAGTTTTGTTTTTATTTTACCATATATTTGACTTTAATAGTGCAGGTGATAGCTAGATCTAGATCTAGATTCCCTGTCTAGAATCAGTAGTAGCAGACAAATGTTAGAAGCAGCCAGAGAGCCTACAACTGCTAGATCTAGATCTAACTCATTGCTATGCCTTTGGGCTTTGGAATTGAAATAAAACGAATTGCACAGTTCTAGTTAATTTTAGATTCAGCAACTATCTGTATTTCCAGAATTAATAATAACAAATCTCACCATAACAATCACTTTTACTTTTATTAGAATAATTAGATCAACTTTTTTTTCTAAAATCTGTTTTGCGCAAACTTAAGACTTTCTCTACGTGTAGAGCACAGAATTTACATTGTAAGCCTCTGCTCAGTCTTTTATTTTTAAGTATATACTTAATAAAATACGTATAGATATAGATCTATATACTCATTTTATGTTATTTTCTGGATATTGTTAAAAACGGGGTCTACCTAGCAAAATACTAGGTTTTAGGACAGGTGGACCCCGGGGTCACCGTAGTGAAATACATGTAAGTAGATTTATTTAAAGATTAGTAGACCCCGGGGTCACCGTAGTGAAATAAGTAGGTTTAATTTTAAAAGGATTGGTGGACCCCGGAGTCACCATAGCCGTAGAGGAATAAGAAGGTTTAATTAAGAATTGGTGGACCCCAGGGACACCGTGATTAAACCTACTTATTTTACTACGGTGACCGCATGGTCCACCTATTCTAAAACCTAACTAGTATTAAATTTCGTTAGGTAGACCCTGGGGTCCACCTTAAACCTAAACCTTCCTATTTCACTACGTTGACTCCTGGGTCCACCAATCCTTAAAATTAAACCTAGATCTACATGTACTTATTTCACTACGTTGACCCCAGGGTCCACCAAACCTTAATTAAACCTAGATCTACTTATAATTTCACTACGTTGACCCAGGGGTCCACCAATCCTTATTAATTTAAACCTAGATCTACTTATAATTTCACTACGTTGACCACGGGCTCCGCCAGTCTTACTATAAAATAAACTGAGATCTACTTATTTCACTATGTTGACCCCGGGGTCCACCGATCCTTAGTCAAACCTAGATCTACTTATTTCACTACGCTGATTCCAGGGTTCACATCCTAAAACAGCATTTTGTTAGGTAGACCCCGCGGTCCACCTATCCTTTTGGGGCTAGATAGACCCCGTGGTCCGCCTATCCACTTCCTTGATAATAACTGGAAAACATGCCAGTTGTCATGAATAGTGAAGAAAAATGTGAGAAAAAAAAGATAACGAGGTAGACGATAATTTGTCAAAAAAATTGCAAGTGCAAGTGAAAATCATAAGATAATTTTGTTATTTTCTGGTGATCTTTTCACGGTTTATAAAATGTTCCAGTGGGCTTACTACTAGATCTATGTCTCTGAAGAACATTTTGCTTGATTTTATTAGCTTTTTTCATGTACTTGAAAGCATAGAATAAAATAGTTTCACACAAATGTATGCACAATACCTTAAAAAAGAAAGATAAGGTCATTGTTGTTGTTGTTTTTTTAACGGAATCCGTTTTACGTTGAAAAAAGCGCTAAAAACAAGTTAAAATTTTTTAAAGAATGCCCATAATATTAGGAATCCGATATTACTACCTTGATCTAGTTTGCTGACTCTTTAATAACCATGAGCTGTTAAGAAAAAAAGAGAATGATATAGGATTTGTCTAAATATGACCATTAGTAAGATATTGCCCATTTTGTCCAATTATCCTTGCAGGTTTTAATCACCCTGTACTGCACCTCAATAAGCACAAAAAGAATATTTCTGTGACTTTGTATAAAGGTGTTTTGTAGTTGAGTTCTATGTAAAATTCTCAACAAAATAATGTACATTTGGACCGTACAACTGAGATAGACACTCATGCACACAATAACATTCACACATTACACATACACATACAAACACACTACTACATTTACTCTCTCTCTCTCTCTCTCTCTCTCTCTCTCACCACAACCACACACAAAACAAACACATACACACACACACACACAACTCTTACACTTGGTCCACTTATTTAGAATCATCCTCTATTTTGAAATAATCCCCCGCACTAAATAAAAAGATCAGTAGAATCTCGACCTTCCGAATCCATGGTTAGTTCAAGAAATCTACCATATGATGTGGCCTAAATAAGGTAAGGGAGGGGGGTTTAGCTTATTTGGGCCACAGTGTGGCCTAAATAAGGTAAGGGAGGGGGGTTTAGCTTATTTAGGCCACACTGTGGCCCAAATAAGGTCACCCTTAAAAGAATCAGACAACAAGTCTTCTCTCCTGAAAAAAATTGCTTTCTGCTGGGCCTTAAAACATCTGAACAACTTGCTGATGTTATTTTTCTTGCAGTAAAAATGTATTTTGTTAGCTCAGTTGGAATCGTGCTGGACCATGTAACGAATCGCCCTGGTTCGAATTCCAGACTAGGTGTTCTTGATTTCTATGTCGTTTTGTAGAGTTCACAAAGCTCTCAACCCATTTGGTTACAATCCTATTGGAGATGGTCGTTCTTTTTTTTAGTAAGCGTTTTACGGCACTTGCAACTCAATGAGGTCATATAAGGTCGTTTTTAAGGACACGCGGGCTAACCCAGATTTCGGGGGTTTCCAGAAATCTTTACCAACATCAAAAGTGGGCATTGCCCTTTCTTTAGGAGAAGTTTGGTTTCTTTGGTGTGTATATTTCTTTGGTTAAAGAGAAAACGCTTCTTGTGTTTTAAAGACACTGAACAAGGGGCAAAAAATTTACCTTCGGTTTTCTAAAAAATAGCATTTTTCGGGATAGCCCTCTATTGCTTAAAAGAGACTTTAAGTTTAAGTGCCAAAGATTAGAGGTGTTATAAGAGAGTAAGACACATAAAAAAGAAGGAGGAGAGGTAAAGACAATAGTTATTTGATAGGAAAAAAAGAGCAAACCACACCAGAGCATCTTCCAACCACCCGCTGAGATGGATGTTGAATTTAGAGGTCCTGCACATGTCTCTTAGAAAAGTTGATAGTTTTGATTGGAGGTTAAACCCATGCACTTATAATACTACTCTTTATTCCAATTCAATATTCATTATTAAATATTGAAGAGAAGCATAGGACAGAGGAGAAGCTAATGACAGGTTCATTTATCGTGGGGGAAACACTAGATGCTAGACAAACTTATTGAAAGAAACAGAATAGTATAGATTTTCTTTTCCTGTTCTAGGGATGTAATATTTCTTTATGGAGGTACTTTTTTTTAGAATGTCATAAATAATTGAGCTTTTCAGTTTTATAAATAGACCATAATATTATAAAACTTTGATGTCTGCCAATACTCTCTAGCTCACACGAATTTTATTACCGATGGGACTCAGAAATCTGTTCTTTATGAGCAAACTTTGCCTTGTCCATGTCCATGTTTTAGATACATGTACAAAGAAGACTATACATGTGCAAGTATAAGAAAAAATTTGGGACTTAAAAATCTGTTCGCTATGTATACATGTGCATGTTTCGTTACGTGTGTGCTTGATGGTAAGTAAGCAGTTCTTCAGTCTACGCCTTAGCCTTAGATTATGACAGTGTATTGGACTCTTTAACTTTTTTGCAACAGTACTATATTTCTGAACCCAGTTCGCTACCTCAGAATTACAAAGTTCTATCTGACATTTTTGGCCGTTTTGAGTAACAAAGACCATGAGGTCAGAAAGCAAATGCTGTATTTGCTGGTATCAAAATCGTAAGATTATTCAGTCGTTATTGAGCAGCTTTGTAATTCTTACGTAGTGAGTTATCTCTGAATCTTTTGGTCAATAAATCAATTTCGTTTTTATTTCAGTTGCAGTGTTTGCACAAAGAAACAAAATTTTCATTTCATGGTTCACAAGTCAAACTTTGAACTACTTCAGGTAAGGAAAAAAGGCAAAGTTTGTTAAAAACTTACCTTATTGTTTAGTAACATATGTACACCTATTTGTGAATTTGTACTTTGTGAAAGTGGACATTATTTCCATTCTTTTAAGATATTAACCTTTATCTTTTCTTTTTTCACATATTGTCCATTCTGCTACCTTCTGTCACAATCTGTTACCATCTCTGTCTTCCCCGGTCAATATCAGTCGTAAGACGCAGTGTGCTATTATCAGCTACAAAACTCGAAAGGCAAAAAAGTGACTTTCCATGACATTTTTGTTTTATTGGATCTATTGAAAATTTGATGTCTCCTGCTTCATTTAAGGTAAAAATAAACAACTATAATCGACTCTATAAATATTTTATTTTGATTTATTTTGGGGGTGTGTGTGGTTTGTTGTAAACTTGGGTGACGTGATAAAGGAATTTGGACTTTGCTTGTGTGTAGCTGTGAGATTATTTATAGAACCATTACCTCATGGCCACCTGTGCTTCAACTATTCAACGTTCTTCATTCGCAACTATTTTAGATGTTGACCCCTTTTCGAGTATGAATGGTATGAAATGTAAACAACTTGTTGTCCTTATGCACGACTGAGGGCTCTGAAAGGTTAAAACGGTAACTTCTAGCTCACTTCAAGCTTGTTTACATAAACAGCTGACTGTGTGGACGTGCCCTGCTAGCTGTTATCGTCTGTTGATCTTTCAGTTTTACGCTTGGATTGACTTTAACAATTCGTTTTTATTGTGTTTTAGTGCTTTTAAAAGATTAGTTAACTTTACTTTAGATCTCTCAAAGGGGAATCCTCACCAAGAAGCCATGGAGGCTATCAGTGTGCATGTGTGTGTATATATATGTGTTGGTGTGTTTGTCATGTGTGTGTGTATGTGTGTGTGTGTGTGTGTTTGTGTGTGTGTGTGTGTGTGTGAGTGTGTGTATGTGTGTGTGCTCTCGTGTGTGCTCTCGTGTGTGTATGGTGCTATTGCAAACGTAGAATTAGGTAGCATAAACATGACACGTAAGCCGACTAGCGGCCTTCCTGGTTTCGGTGAAATGGGGATATTTCATATCTCTGTTTCTTTGCTCTTTTACTATAAACACCAAATGCTGAACACTTTGAAAAAGTTCAGATTCTCTTAGTTACAATAGTGTACGGTAAGTTGTTTGTATATCCGAGTGGTTGGAGCTGGAGAATCGCCGTGGAAAGGGAAGCCCCTTGCATTCGGAATGTGAGGTCGGCCGGTTCAAAATTGACACCCATGCGTTCAAATGCTTTGCAGAAAGATTGATGATCAAATACCGTCTTTTCATTGGCGGAGAACTATACAGCTTTGAGCGTGGTTTCCTGTGGTTATAATTTGAAGCCTTTGGCGTTTGGATTGAAAACCTTGAAAGAAAGCGTCTAAGTTTTCAAAGATCATTTTTAACACGAAATGTGTAAAATACCGGCTAAAAAGAATACCAATAGAAAGAACAGTTCTTTTTTTATTAGAATAAAGTCATCGGCTTGGAATTATTTGCATGAATCCTTCCGCGAAACTCCAGGGAGCACTCAGTTTATTGAAATAACAACAGATCGTCGTGTTTGAGGCAATAAAATACTGATTTGTTATGATCTCACTGTCTTGAAAAAATTAGGCTTAATTTCTTTGTTATAATGATTGTGCTCTGTTAATGAAGAGATGTTTGGTGCTCTTGGTACTCTTTTATTATCTGTCAATCATGGGGTTGCCGCCAGTCAGCGACTTCAGCAATATTTGATTATTATGTTAAATTGAAACAGTTACCATTTTCTTAAACATTGACTGAGAGGTAAAAGTATGGTACCAAAATTCTCAGGAGACATAGGCCTTTCATATGAAACAGATGAATTTGACGTACAGCTACTTTGAAAATTTAATGTCTGGTACCTAGTGTAGTGTAATGCTAATATTTTGTTGCATTTGACGGGAAGTCCATTCTCGTGAAAATTTTGTTTTGTCCATAAGTTTTTTCTCTGTTAATGAATAGTTTTCTACTTCTGTATGTTACCTTGTAGTGGCATAGCCAAGATAGCTGCTAAATTTCAAGTCTATATCTCAATTCTAGGACCCCAATTGCTATGGAAACATGTTGCTCAATTACGGACGCCATTTGTTCCTTTTCGAGTTTTCTCACAACGCACAACTAAAAGTTCTGTATTTTCGTCAAATATGGTCATATTTACTTCATTCTTGTTTTAAATATTAGGGAAAATATGATAGTTTTTGTAAATAATGTTAACTCAGTTTTGAAACTTCCTTCATATGACTGATACTGACCGGCAGGGACACATCTGTAACAAGTGCTATTAAACAGTCATCAGAAACTTTTGTTTTAGTTTGTCTCTAACAACAATCTTTAATGTTGCATAATTATATGTGACACTTGGTAAATGTGAAGATTAAAGCAGTTCAGTTTATGCACAATTATTTATAACGCAAAATTATTGTGAATATGATCTTTGCATCCATTTATATACATGTGCTCACTAAATACCATATTATATCTAAATATAAATCATGAACCTTTTTTTAGTTTATGTAATATCATGTATTTATGCATCATGAATAAAACTGATTCTGAAGTGCTGTATAGTGTTGCATGAAATTAACAACTTGGTAACAACTGCTGCAGTTTATCTAGACAGTAGAACTGAAGAAGTGCTGTTCCTTTATCTCCTGGTTTTCACACATTTCAGGGAGCTGAAAACATCACAACATACAGGTTTGGCACCAAAGTTGCACAACATACATTCTGCAAGATATGTGGTGTCCAGAGTTTCTACACCCCTCGAAGCAACCCGGACTGCCATGGTAAAGCATTTTTTAGTCAGATATCTATGGGACTGCCGGGTTTTCTTTGACGTAGCTGTTTTTTGGGGGTTAGAGGAGCTGCTGAAACATGACAAAAATTGAAATTGTTTGTTTTTTTCATTCATAAACAACTGTTTTAGGAATGTGCGTGGTTGGCTGGTGCTCTGGTGTGGTTTGCTCCTTCTTTCCTATCAAACATCTATGGTCCTTACCCCCCCTCCTTCTTTTTTCTGTTTGTTACTTTCCTGTAACGAACCTATTCTTCGGCACATATATAACCTTAATGTGTTGCAAGTACATGTACAGTAAAACACCCCCTAAAGCTAAAAAGAAAACTGTTATAGGATTTAAATGTGTTTGGTTTAAGCGGACTCTACAGTACTTGTTTTGGTGTTATGTTGCTTTGACATGCCAGCTTTTATTGAGCTGTCTTCAATATTAGAATGATGCTTGCACTAATGCTGCTCATCGAAGACAGTCAAGTTGACACTGGTACGTTTTATGTGGATTCAACAGTGATTCCCAGAGTCGTGTTTGATGCCCTTTCTATTTCACACTACATTGTACTTCAGATTTATAAAGAAAGAAAAAGAGAAAGCTTTGACATGAATCCTTGGCTGTTACCTTGTGCTCTTTGATTTTTTAATATATTTTGCCTGTTATATTTTTTAAAGTCTAACATATAATGGCATGAACATAGACATATCCATGCAAATACCCTGGTACACAATCGCATACATACACTGAAAATCAAACATGCCCAAACACAAGCACAAACATTTCCCTTTGTATTAATTTTCTTTAAAGACCTGGACTGGAAGAAAGAACATTGTTTCTTAAGATTAAGAGTGAGAAACAGACTTAGGTAAACTTTTCAAAGTCAAATTAGTTTCAGGGACTATTTTATTATTTCTTTTTTAAAAAAGTTTTAATTTGATATGTGGATGCTTTCAAGAACTTCATACTTTTGTCTCCGCTGTTTTATGCAAACATTTTTTTAAAATTATGCAAACGGAGCCCAAAAATCTGAAATTATGCGATTCTGTTAATTTTTAACAAAGAGTGATAAAGGAAAATAATCAGAAACTATGCAAAAAATGATCAAATATCAAATATTGCTAAAGTATGCGGGGTGCATAAAACCACGGCGACAGTACTTATTGACCCTTAATTGATCATAGTGTAGTCCATGTTATAAATCTTACACCCCCCCCCCCCCCACTCTCTTCTTTCAGAAGTCCTATCTTTTACTTTTAGGGCCTTTCCAGATTCTGATATCTGTTGTTTAGTTTCTACACTTACGTTTATATAATTTAAATAAGAATTAATTAAAAAATTCCCCTCTGTTCCTTTTGAATCGCTTTGTATTTGATACCTGTTTTGTTTTGTTTACTTCCTTGCCTGTAGGGGTTGCTCCACACTGTCTTGACCCTGGAACTATGAAATCGACGACTGTGGAAAAGTTTGGAGGCGATGACTGGGAGGCTGCATTTAAGACATCAGACATACAAAAGCACTCAAAAAGTTAAAGTGTTTCATGTCGGAGGCACATCGCTGGAAGACTCATTTGCAACTGAGCTACAAGGCTGTCAATTGTAACAAAGCAAGGATGAGGCTGTCCGAAAAGTAGGAGGAAAAATAGTCATAACTGAAAAATTGATAGCTTTTTGTATAATTTGGGAACGGTATGCTAAAGGTATGCACTTTTGAATGGGTCTGTATAACACAATAAAATGTGGACATCGTCAATTTGAAACAGATATATACATTGTTGTATTGTACTGTAAATGTAGATCTAGATCTAAGACTGCTGAAGAAAAACAGGTTTGAAAAGAACTTTTATATGTTTTGTTTTGAAGTATAGCTATTAATGATAAATCTATAATAAATAAAGATGATGGTGCTTGCCATGAACAAATTGGTGTGATTAACATGATTTATAAATAAAAACCCTTGGCTCTTAAGTCTATCTGCTTCTTATCCATGCATAGTTCTAAAAGCAATGATATACAGTATTATATGAATAAGGGAATAATTCCAAGCACAGTGTTACTTTTTAAATCTGTAAGACGAATCCATGAAAAACTATTTTTTTAAAAATGTTCTCCCTACTTTTCCTACTAATAGCCTTTCGTATTTGTCTCATGGGGTTATGGGAAGGTAAGCAGGCCTATAACATGTAGTGGTGCACCCAGGGAGTTTTCATGAAGTCCTCTTAACCTTCCCTCTGTGTAGAGTATTTGATAACTTTCTTATTTTTTGCGGGTTTTTTTCAGCATTTTTCGTAGGCTGTGCCTGCTCCTTTCTTTGCACCTGGCTGGCCGGGTGAACGCTGTGCCCCCCCCCCCCACCACAATAAAAAGTTTTGTTTATAAACTCATTGAAAAGTAATTCCTGACATAAAAATAATATCAAATTCAAAATTATTCGAGAGTGACTCTTTTTCTTGCTGGAGTTAGAAGATCACAAAACAAAGAAGTATTTTTTACAAAGATTGCATCATGCTGTATTTTCTTATCACAAAGTCACTGCCTGTGTAATTTGCCTTTATGTGGGTTGGTTTGTTCCTATGTGATTTTTATTTAAAAAACGATGATTTCCCAGAAGGCTTACTGGTATTAAGAAATTGACAGAAGGACGTGAATGAAGATGCAGAGTGTATTCCGACTTTCTTGTTGCTAATAATGCTAAGTTGTATGATCTGTCTCCTGGCTGTTTCCCTCAGAAGAATTTTTCAATTTTGTTGTCGTTTGTAGATCTAGAGCTGATTCCTGTTTTTGTAGGAAATTGATTGTGTTTTTTTGTGCTTGGTTTTTGAGAGTAATAGTTCAGTGTGGGGGTGTAGCTAACATGAATGCGGAAATCTCGAAATCACAGATAGCCCAAATAGTTTGTCATTCCCTCGTCTGTTTAATTTTATGTTATCGATTAACCCCATTTATGGATGTGTCAAACTTATTTGTCACTCTCTGAACCCGACTGTTGATAAGGTAGGGGAATGGGGGCTGGTGCTGCTGGTGTCCAACTTTTCCAACACTTTTCAAATTGAAGTTTAAGAATGGAATCCTGGTAGAATTAAAAGTTTGTTCTTGTCCTGTCTGGACTGGAGCTTTCCAACTCAGCTTGATGTCAGGTTTCGTTGAGCTCTTTTTTGTTTCGAGTGAAGTTTTAACAAGAACTATAATAATAATGATAGCAATACTTGGTCCATCAATGTCTGCTGACGATGACCAGTAAATCAGCAGAGAGATTATTTCTTAAGGCAAAATAGAAGAAATGAAGGTTAAGATGACTTGTAACTTCTACTATGGTCAATAAAAACAATTTTGGTATACAGAAAAGTTTACATTTTGGGCAGTCTAACTAAAGCTCCGCTTCCACCTGAGGATGCGTAATCGGCAAGAGCACCAGGTTACTTATTCACTATTTCTTTGTACAAAGTAGGTTCCGATCTGGTTCTCTGTGCCATATACACACACACATAGTCTATCTTTGTGTACCATATATATTGGGTTATTGGGTTTTGGTTGCTATGTTTATCACCACCGTGCTGTTATATATACTGTTGTATGGGTTTATTGCCTGTGTGTGAGTTGTTACATGGCACTACTGGTACTTTCCACTTCTTTTCTACCTCCCCCCCCCCCCCCCCCCCGTTTCTGTTATTATATGCTTTTTCTCAGCAATAAATGACTTATAAGTTCTTGTGTTAATATGCTCAATTTTACTCAGAGGAAATGTCTTTTTAAGTGCCGTTACTGTACATTTCCATGAAAGATGATTCTTTATGCTTTCATCAGTGTGCCCTTTGTTGCATTGTTTGATTCTCACATTAAAAATTTTGTTTTGCAGAATGTGTTCATCCAATGATTCTTGGTTTATAATAATATAACCAGATGCTCTCTTCTTTGCCAAAATAATATTCCTTGTTGCCGTCCATAAGGCACCATATTTGAAGAAAGGAATTTATCAGCACCAGGAATATTTGTACAAAATGATTAAATCTGCTCTGCATAATATTTAATATAACAGTATTTTAGTATTAAGAACAGTAAGCACTGTTGAGTAAAGTAAAGGACAGCTCGCTACCCAAGAATTACAAAGTTCTATCTGTTAAGTACCTAGTTTTGAGAAATATGACATTAAATTATTTTGAGTTTCAGTGCAGCGTGCCAAGCTTGCTTGAATGCAATTTTTTGAATATCTCGATGACGACTCCGAATAATCATGATTTTGATAGAGCAGACAGAACATAGTTTCTGTCCTCATGGTCTTAGTCTTAGTAAACTCAAAAAGGCGAAAAATGTCAGATAGCACTTTGGAATTCTAGGCTAGCAAGCTGGCTGGCTTTTCTACTCATCAGCAGTCAGTAAGTCAGTAAGCTTTATAGTTATAGCGTATTAGGAGGTCAAGAGGGATATATTTTCATGGCAGAGTGTTTTGTTATTTCAGATCTTAATTCGAGTCCGACTTTAATGTGATAAGTGTTCAGGGACTTAAAAAAATGTGCAGACCAATACTAGTATATTTTTAAATGTCAATTTTATTCTTTTTATATCAATTTTATTTCAGTGTGTCATAATAAAATAATTCATGTTACAACCAACTATTTACATGATAAAACAATAAAGATATATATAATTAACATTCATTGGCCATTGCTGTTGAATACTTTGCTTACTCTCTGTGAGTATCACATATTGACTGCTTAGAGTTAAGACTCCTCAATAAGCCGTTTTGAAAACTGATGAACTATGATTAGTCTTACTCTGAGCAGTCGATGTATAAATACTCTCCACAAGTACAAAAGTTTTTTTTTTGGGGTGGGTGGGTGATGTTGTGTTCCGAACCTTGAAGTCTATCATAAACCAAGGGTCATATTCACATACAACCCTTCAAATGAAATCAGTAATCAAGTACATAGATCCATTTCCCTTTGTACTTGTATTGAAAAGACAAATCACGTTGCTGGAACCAAAATATTGAATGACATGATCCATCTTACCCTCAAACACACCACCGCAAGAATGAATGCGGAACAAGTGCGATAAAAGAAGGCCTTCGTTATTATATTCTTTGCTTTAAAAAAAAAGCACAATGTGTTCGACCACACACTAAAACAATTTCAATTTTCTCTGTATTTTAATTACATTTTTCTGAATTTGCCTCTGGACATAAAAAATAATAAGCATGCATGAAGTACACATTGATACTAATATAAGATATTTTGATGGAAAATGTAACCTTGTTTATAGTGGTTCGAATAAATGAGTTGGAGTTGTTGTGTGCCAGTCAAGGAGGATTAGTGACTTGATAAATAAGCAGCTTCCAGGATGTTCCGGATGAGCAAGAGCTCCAAAGCAACTAAACAGCAAGTGTGAAAAATTGAAAAAACTGATATCGTCTCAAAAAAGTCGAAGAAACAAAAGAAAAAGAAGTTCATGAGTGGGCATATAGTACAGGCACCCTTTCTTCATCTCACATTAGAAAAGATTTGAGGGAGACAGATGGAGTACTCTTGAAGGTAAAAGAGAGAGCAATTCTAATTCTATTCCACATACAGGCATGTGGCATATATACCCACTGACACAAAGAAAAAAACCCAAACAAATCCAGGACTAATGCACTGCAGGGTTAGAAAGGTTGAAAAAAAGATTTTGGGTATGTTGCCATGGTTGCATGCATCAAGAAAATTTTGCTTATTTAACTAAGATGCGACTATTTTGAACCCATCTGTCAGGGAAACTTTGGCAGAGTCAGTGGGAAACAGCAGCCCAGCAGAAAAAAGGGACACTGGACAAAGTTAAAATAAACTTCCCATTTGCAGATTTGAATCTCATTTTTTCTTTGAAGGGTGAATAGCCTACATGTAACAACATACCACAGATGTCAGTAGGCAGGGGGAAATCAGGGAACCAACGAAAATTCACCAAGATAAACACATAAAGTTTAAGATTGTAAGAACATGTTTACAATTTATCCTTACTTCATTGGACTGCTTCACTGCTTCTCAAGTTACTAAAAAAAACTACTACTGCACCAAGCACTGAAGCTTATTTAAAAACCATTAACATTGTAACAATTTGACACTACCTGGAAGTTGAAGCCACCCCTAATACTAATACAATGTACTAGTACTACAATCAAACAACATGTCCTTCTAGTAAAGGACTATATCTAACACACCTACAGAACAAGCCAAACGTTTTGAAAAGAGAATTGCCAAATTATATTAGTAATAGATTGTATGTATGTATAGTATAAGGTTTTACGGCGCTCGCAAGTAATAGATTAAAAGTACTGGTGGAAAGATCAAGAATAAACCTAAGTGGGGAAAAAAAAAAAGCAACAAGCTCTGCTAAGAATGAAACTAAAATCCAGAAAATGAAGTGCTGACTGCATTGAGCCTTTAGAGTTTATCTCATTTCTGCATTATATATATATAGAAAAAGTACTGAAGAAAGTAAGGCAGTTTTCAGTACATCATGATAACAAAATACAACCATCGTACATTCCAAAAAAAACACAAAAAAACATTTGGTCCGCAGCACTATGGTGACTTTGGTAGTCATTACCATCTGGCTCTCTACTTTCGGCATCACGTATCATGTACACAAAAATACAAAACGGCAACATGTAAAGTAATTTCAAATAACAACTGTACACAGAAACCAGTAAATTTCCCAACAGTTGTGTCACAATTCACATATATCACAACAACAGCATATTTATCCCTCTGAAAACATAACCCTCTCGAAGATAACATTGTTTGTTGTTTTTTTCCCCAACACAATATGTGCAACCGCAACAGCATACACTGTACAGAGCTCGATCTCTTCCAAAGACCATGCTATTAAAAAAACAACCCCCCCCCCCCTAAAAACAAAACAAAAAAGAAAACCCCAAACAACACAACCTCTCAACTTTTATCGAGAGGAAGGAGGCCACCTGGGGTCAGCAAAGAAAGTGTCTGTCCAGGTATACTCTTCTCTGCTTCTCAAATGATTCTGAGAACAATCTGGTTATAAAATTATAAACTGAATTACGAAAATATTGACATGACATAATAATCAGAACTAATAATAATGATATGAGACATTTCATCTCAAACTTGTAACTCGTTCATTTTCAGGACATGAGACCCCCCCCCCCACAAGCTTGTCATGTTCTATTAATTCATTATCGAAACCTATACATTGACTACAGCTACATGCACGCTTTCTTTAGTGACATTATCTATTTTTAAATTGTTACATAAGATATGGGCAGCACTTATATGACCCAATTGTGTTGCAAGGCAAGTGCCATAAAACTTGTACTAAACCTAAACAACTAAAAAAAAAAAAAAAGATGTGGGGCGACAGACCACTTCCAGAATATGAGGAGCCCTACATTTTTTTATGACACTGCAACGGTGAAACTTAAAAAAAGACCAATTAATTCACCCTCTCACTGTAAATGAAACATGTTGGTCATTGTGTCAAGTCTAAGCCTGCCAACAACAGAGGTACTGGTAAAAAGTTGTAGAAAGAGTTTGAAATTCTTGACAATATCAGAACAGATATCTTAGCAGTGAGGGGCGTAGCAATTTATCTTTTCATATCATGACACCATACAGCAACAAGATCTATACAAAAAAAACAACTGAACTCAACTAAACCAAAGACAGAATTCTAACAGTTTCTAAAGTTTAAATCCTTCCACTGACCTACGACCTATGTTGGCCTAATTCACCACAAAATAATGAAACACGTTTTGGAGTATCATGGTCTTTGTCAAAGATGAAAAGTATACTGGTGACATCACAGGTCACTTTGTGCTTTGAAAAACAAAAATCTTATCATAAGATCAGACAAGACGACACGGAACAAGAAGGGGCTCATCCTGTCAAAAGAGCCCTAAAACACCAACACAGATTTTGGTTTACTATAATATAGCAAGTAGAAGAAGAGTTTATTACATAACAAGTTCAAGCAAAACAAAGTATCAATCAAAGATAACCATACCATATCAGGAGTACTCATTCATCACGCAAGTATATAAATATTAGGGTACATCAAGACATTAATTAAATTCTATAACTCAAAAACTTACATTACATTCCCAAGAAAAGGCATCGATGCCTGTAACCCCCCCCCCCCCCAAAAAAAAAACAACAAACAAACAAACCCATACAACTCTCTCCCTTGCAAACCTAATTAAAACTTAAAAACAAATAAGTACAACCATACAATAACAATTTTTTTTTTCATCTTCGGACAAGCAGATTTATATTATGTAATATGTTTGTTCAAAGAAAAGTTATAATCCTAAGTCACGCTGTGACAACCTTGCATCCACTTCAGTCCAACACTAACGACAGTAATTCTAAAGAACACATGAGCCTGCAAGCAAGCCACTACACTCACAGAAACAAACATTTTTGCACACAATCATTTACTTTACTTGTTGAAAGCATCCATGGGGCATAAATATTAATAAGGAATGACCTTCATGTATGTACAAAACCCAGAACATTTTGTTTACAACACAAAGTCACAAAAGTAGCATTGATACACAGAAGTATAACATTAGAAAACCTCTATGCCATCCAACCCACCTCTCTGAAAATTCAGATCGTAAACACTACAAAAACCCAGTAAGAATCTCCTTTTCTGGCTTGTTTCGCCTCTCTCCTTTTGAACTCCCTGTTTATAGATCTAGTAGCTGTAGCAAGAAGAATGAGTAACTCCCAAAGTTCACAACTCACCCTGTAGATAGCAGGGTCAAACAAAGTTACTAATTTTTCTTGTGACCGCAATGATATGTTACGTTTTCACTCACATACTCATTCTTCAGCAAAGACAATTTGCCCCCTAACCTAGATAGTAAACATTTCTGTACTGTAAAACGATCATGTGACCTTTTAAAGTCAAGATTCTAAACTAAAGGCGTGCCAGCTTTTGCAAACCCCCATCAGGGACATCCCCTGTTAAAACATCACATTATGTACCAACGAACAAAATTACATCAGGTGGGACTGGTTTTGGTGTAGTGTTAAGTAACATCATCTTAAATTCTCGACTGCCGAATCCGTGACTGTCCCGGGGAATTCGGGACAGCTGACAAGCTTGACACTAGTAGCGGACTGCTGGGCTACCCCAGGCCTGCAGTAACCACGGACAACGATGTTTCAATGATCCTAGATGTCACATATGTCAGGCACAGATAACATAAACACGGACAACTCAAAATCATGGGACAGCTTGAGCTTGAACAATTTGCCATTCCCCGACATACGGTACCTCTTTGATTTGTTCTTATATCAGTATATATCTGAATTATGGATGTGTCACACACATTTATAAATCCAAAAAGGGAGTTATCCGTACCTGACTGTATCAGGAAAGAGTAGGGCTGTACATACGAGACAAGAGAAGTGGTTAATCCAGCCATTCTAAGTTTTTGGGCGATTTGGCCTCATATAACTTAACTATTATCATAATGAATGATAATGTATGGTGGAAGTCTATGCCACAAACACTGATGAAGTGACAGCACTGAAGAAAGGGACAACCTTGGAGATAGTTTGGTTACTTGGTTTTATCTAATGATAAAAGAAAATCTTTGTTATTTGAGTAGAGAAGCACATCAACATAATTTGAATAACGGCCATTTAGTGCATGGAAAGAGTAAGATAGACAGAATCAAAAGAGGGAAAGATATGAAGGAGGGTCCACCAGTGGCACCCTCCAACTAGCCACAAGAAAAAGACAAATGCCAAGGATATTATGCACTCAGAAATACTAGTAGTTTAAACAACAGTTCGTTGAAAAACCACCGTATCAATACAATATAATCATAACATAGAGTACTGTTTTGAGCAACCTTTTTCCTATTACTAGTGTGACTACTCTTTTCTTTCAACATGTTGATTTTGTCTACCCGTCTTTCTATATCCATAAACCAAAAAGGCTGTTGTCATTCGACGTGCTTTAGTTTACTAAAAACTTTTTGTACCTTTATTATCATTTTCCACTAGACGCAGAAAGCCCCTGATACCTGGACCAACACTGAGCTCCACTGGACGTTCCCTGGGTATTCGAAATGTGTAGTAAAAAAGGAAAGTACACTTGACTACGGACGAATCCATGTTATCAGGGGAGTGAAAACAACAGAAGTTAGACTTAACCGTTAACCATTGGGATCTGCAAAGATGAAGATGTGCTGGGACCCGAGAAAAAGATAAACTTAAGCAAGTTAACTGAAGATCAACTCAAGCGAATTCAACATGAGAGGAGCCAAATGCACTTATTGTTCGGGAGAATGTACAGATAACTCCAACCCTTTACTGCAGTGCTTCCACCAGCTGAAGCTGAAAAGTAAGGAAAATTCTGCCGGGGGTTTGCAGGGTCCAGGGACAGCGAGTGGGTTCAGGGGGTTTCAGAAATTGAAATTTAGTACTTTTAGAGGGTTGAAAATGGCATTTGGGAGACGTTTTAAGAGACTGCCAACAGCCCATTCTACCTATTCTTTCACCAAGATTTTGTCTTGTTTGATTTCTTCACCAACATATCTTTCCATTGCTGGCAATGTTTAAAAGCAGGTTCCCCTTCCATTGCTACTATAATTTAGTTAATTTGTCATTGCACCATTGATAGAAGGCAAACCTGGAAATAATGAACAGCAGATGTACCTTCACATTACAGTTACCCGGCGTATACCCTAATTTTCCTAAATTTTCACGTCTGAAAGTCGCATGTCACAACCTTGGAACACCACTTTGAATTATTCTTGATTTTAGTAGTTTTAGCACAAATTTCTTTCATCGGGGCCCTTATCGCAAAATCTTTGCACTGATAATTTCTCTAGATCTAGACAATAAATTTGAAAAAAATTTTTTCTTTCTGACAGTAATTTTCTGCCTAAGATCACAAGTCAATTTACTTGATCAACACACAGATTTTCCAGCCGCGGCAACAATCCGAAGATAGACAGACGGAATGAGGGAATGACAGAAAGGAGGAAAGTGGCACAAAAAGTTCACCAGATTTTGATCAATCTGCAGGTAAAAAATGTACTGCTGACCAACCCGCAATGAATGCATGGGGCACAGCGGAATAATGGCCGATGGCAGGAAATGCGCAATCTGGCAGGTTTCTATGACATAAACTATTGCCGAGAGAATTACCGTTAATATCCATAACTTATACAAGCTGATATGAAGGCGAGTACGGATCTTTTGCTACGGAATTTCGGTAGTCCTACACTGTCGCAGATTTTTACGGAGGGAGTTGATAATGACGGAGGAACAAGTACGGAACTGGCAGAAAGTACGGATTTCCGTAAAAATACAGAAGATTGGAAGCACTGTTACAGACTAGCGTCACAAGAAGAGATTGTATGACCAAAGCTGAAACCACCCATTTTACAATTAACAAACGTTTTCCAAACCGCGAGTACATGTAACTGTACAGAGATTAAATTATGAGGGAAAGTTACTTAGACACTGATCCAGTACAGTTTCTCCACAAAATATATACACAACTTTCACCAATAATAAATGCAAAATTTTATCCAACCATAATAAGCGCAAAGAAACACCAATGATATGATACATGGTGGTGCAAAAGTGTACTGCCCCCCCCCCCCCAACAGCTATGCTATGGAGCTGAACCACAAACAATCCGAGAGCTAGATAATCAGTCTTTTACATGGTGCACAGAGCTAAAATAACCCATACATAAAGAATCCCCGTGAAGAAATTAAGGAAATTGTTTATACCTCTTTAACCAACCTCTGGCAGGCAATGACAGGATTAAATCATCACTGTTGAAAGAAAACTGATTAACTCCAAAATCCTTTGTTTTTATCTTTCCCTGCAAATCAAAGTCAGACTTTTATTAACCTTTCTTTCCACAGTGATAGGAGTTCCACAAATTACTCTTTCAGATTTACCCAAATCATTCACCTTCTGTTACCAAATCAATCAAAATGAAACAAACTGTTTTTTCATCTAAAATAAAACCCCAACAAAACAAACCCACCTGTGTAGATCTCCAATGTGTTTTAAATCATCAATTGCAATGACAAGAAACAACATTCCATTCAGTTCAGGCGTGCCATACAAAACTATCTCAATAATGTAGAAGTCTTTTACACCAGAACACACTCAACAACAGGAGCTGGGGCACACCACACACTGATGCTCCACAGACTACAGAGAATGAGATGTCACGAAAAAGTGGAGAAATAGGAGACGGACATTTCACCACTAACCCGGAGGCAGCTGCAGGGAGGTTTATTTTTTTTTTGGTGATGGCATAGAGGTCTGCTCTATAGGAAAGGCAATGTAACACAGGGGTCGAGCCCTGCCATGAAATATCACAAGAAGGTGGCACAGTGTGGCCAGACATACACATTGTTATCGTCACAACAGAATTACACAAGTCATTTCTTTTTTCAGGCTTCCAGTTACAATGCTTGTCATTTGTTTTATTTTCCCAATAGTAGGGTTCTGTTTCATGTCATACTTCATCAATCAATGTCTGTCTGACGATGACCAATGCATAATTGCAGAGGAGAACATTTTTTGAAGATATAAAAGACATATAAAAAAAACTAGGGACGATTTGTGGCTTCTGCTGTGGCCAATAAGGTCAATTCTGACACAGAAGAATTTGCTACATTTATCAGCATTTAAAAGCTTCATTTCCACTTGTGGATGGGGGCAGCTTGCGGGGGTTCTCTCTAGGCTTCAGCATCTCTAATTTGTGAAGCCTCATGTAATAATTTACAGCCCTCTGTGATTGCTGCTCTCAACCAACTGGGTCTGTCAAGAGCTAGATTCTCCCAGGTTAAGGGATTGCTGTTGAAGCTCTGTAGAAACACTTTCAGGGTGTCCTTGTAATGTTTCTTTTGTGTGCCAACTTTACTTTTCCCTGAAAACAGCTCAAAATAGAACACTGCCAGTTTCACTGAGACATTCTTAACTTTGCACATGGCATAAAGTTGACTTAGGTTAGGCATAGTCCTTTAAAGTTTTTCTCAAAACAGCAAAGAAAAAAAAATGACTTGGGCTATTGTGCTATGACCATAACGACACGGCACATATATACAGTAAACCTCAGGAAGTATGTACTTCTGAATAAAGCACACACACTCATCAGCAACACATTTTCAAAAGTCCCTGATCCCAGGAGAGTTTCCCTTGAATACCATACCATGGCTTCAACAACCTTCGGACACATGATATTCTATCCCGACAGAGGGAACCAAAACTGCTTGGCGAGTAAGCCTTATGGTCTCTGGTCTGCTGGTCCTCAGGGAGGGCACAGTACAACAGAAGTTTTACTGAATGTACATGTCACGTATGTAACCCATGACATAGAGGACAAAATGTGATGAGGTCAGCATGTGGACAAGGGTGGGGGAGGGGTGGTGGTGAGCCCAGTCCCGGTCAGTGGAAGGCGTAGAGGATGAGAAGGATGATGCAGACTGCGATGACCAGCGCAAGGATGATGGAGTCACGACGTTTTCGCAGGTTGATCCTCTGTACCAGACTGTTGATCACGGGGAAACGGTCTGGGCACAACCGTCAAGGGAAAAACCAAACAACAAACAAAACAAACCAACAGCTTTTGCTCCTCTTTCAATGTTTCCTCCTACACTACTAGATCTTGTTTTTTGTTTTGGTAAATGTTTTACGACGCTCGCAACTGCATACGGAGAGGAAAACTGGAGATTAGAGGGCAGGGAAAGGGGGTGATAGGAGACTATTTTAGCGAAGTAAATTTTCCGTCGCCGTCAGGTTTCTAACCTATTGAATGAGAGGTGAACATTGTACCTCCAGAACACGAGGGATCTTGGGAGAAGTTGACCGTAGCCTCGTCCTATTAAGTAATACATTTTTACAAAAAAGGGCCTATTTTCTAAATTAAATGGTCCAACTTTCAAAGTTTCTCTCAACTATTTACGCGACATCAGTAGCTTAGTGGTTAGGCTGTGGGACCCACAATGCCGAAGTAATGGGTTCAAATCCCGGTTCAGGTACAATGTCATGCCCTGGAAAAAGACTACACAAACTGTCCTCAGTTCGCCCATTGCATACCAGAGGGAGGTGCAACCCCTCAAATGGTGGGTAACATACATTAACAGCTGTGCTCAGATGTACACATGTGGGATATTTACCTTCATTGGTGTTGTCTCTTTTTTTTTTTTTGTAAGTGTTTTATGGCATTTACAACTGCACAAGGTCATATGAGGTTGCAGGACCCATTAAACATTTTCAGGTGGTAGGAAATTTTTAATTTTGCCCAGGTGGGGCCGAAGCCTACTCTTATCGATTTTAGGACCACCAAGGGATCTTCTAAAGTGTGACTTTTTTTATCCATATCTGAGAAGGACAGGTGTTAGATCTTGCACCCCTTTGATTTAGGGTGTGGCTGAAAGACAACAGTAAGAAGGAGCCAAAGAGTAGCAGTAGAAGGGCAGCTGAAAGAGTCAGGAGCCCAGAGGAGAGGGCAAAGAAAGTGGAAACAAAAGCAGATGATAGAACATGGTTTGAGAGCAGGAAAGGAGGTAAAAGGAGAAAATTTTGGAGCCGAAATTTTCCCGTCCCGACCAGGTTTCGAACTCGGGGCCCATAGAACGAGAGGCGAACACTGTACCTCTAGACCATGAGCCCCCCCCCCCCAGCTGTGATAAATTTGATATAATACCCAAGATCAGGTGCGTTTTATCAGCAAAATGTACGAGATTTAGAGGGCAAGAAACTATCTGCGGCTCAATACCAAAGTTGAAGAAAAAGGATACTGGCAAGTGTATTCACTTTCTGTGTGATGGAGGTCAAGAACCGGCTTTGTGACTGAAGATTTTCCTTGGTTGCTATGGCAATGCTGAGGAGTAAAGAGAAAAGAACATTTTAAAGATGAACACCTATTATATTTTTTCTGATCCACCCCCCCCCCCCCCAATCCTGCAAAAGCAGTCTTAAAATATTCAACACATTTTTGTACTGTGCAAAGAGATTCCTCATGCTAAGACTTTGTCCCCCTCTACTCGCACACCAGGATTCCCTATTTGAAGCGAAACCTCTCAATGTCCAACCACAATGTTTTATCGCAGTGGCTCCCCATGCAAAAAATGACAGGGATAGAGCTCTCTAACTTTGAGAAAATATAACAGCCAAGTAAACGGTTTTCGTGTTAATTTGAATGTGCATGTCCGTTGGTTTTAACAGTATGAATGATGACAAAGGAATCGTTTCCCAGCCTCTGATAAGGGATAAAACTAGGGTGCAACAAAAAGGACATACAAACTATATATATGTACACCAAATCAGTAAAAATCACCCGAAAATTAAGCAGACCTGAGATAAAGTGAATATAAAAACCATTCTATACCATTTTAAGATAGAAACAGATATCTGCAGAAATTATGATTTGCTTCAATAAAACTTACCTTATCTGTTCATCCACTAATCTCTCAGAACTGAAAAAAACAACAAAAAAACACACACACATAAAAAACAAAATAAATTCATTGTTTGACCATTACAAAAATAGAGTACAAGATGAACAAAAAACTAAATAAGAATTAATCTACAGTACCTCCTTTATTCTTAAAACCTTCCACAGACACAGTGTCTTAATTTTAAATTTTCATTGTTTCGTTTTAGTAAGCATTTGACAGCACTTGCAAACACAATTAGGTCATACATGCTGAAGATTAGCAAAGGAGTTACAAGACAGTATCAAACACACACAAAAAAAGGAGGAGAGATAAGGACAATAGATGTTTGATAGGAAAGAAGGAGCAGAGCACGCAAGAGCACCCGCCAACTACCCACACCTTAACTTCATAGCAACAGTGGATGAAAGCCCCCCCCTCCCCTCCCCCCCCACGCACAGCATGCTTATTTCCATTATTCCAAGCGGATCAATAGAATGAGAGTTCACTGCCCATGTAAATCGACAGTACAGCTTGTTAAAACATTTTACTACACAAATGAAAAAGAATTTCTGATGCTGCTTGTCGAGGGTCTCCTAAGGGTGTGTCCAATCCAATTCCATTTCTTCACTTGTATGTCTTCCTTAACAGGCCTTTGGCTTGTTCTTTCCAACAGTTTAGCATTTGTGACTCGATCGTACCACTTGATCCCCACTATTCTTTTTAGGCATCCATTTATGAAGCTCATTCTTTATGCATACAGAGCTAAAACAGAACCATCAACACCCCCCCCCCACCCGAAAAAAAAACCCACGAGGGGGAAGAGGGAAGTGGTCATTTGTACAGGTGACAAAAATAGCAAATGCCGACTCCTTATAAATATGACAATTTTACACAAATCAAGGGGCAGAATTTTTTCCCCTCAAAACTTACTTGCGTATGTGTTCATTTTCCTTCAAGTACAAATCAGATCTGCGATTCAGCCCTGAAGAATTCTTGTATGCTCTATTGGATGAGATATGCAAAAAAGTCACTGAAAACTGCTCATTACAATCAGCAGGACACAGAAATCATTTTGGTGTGTATGAATTTAGCTATGCATGTGCATAAATAAGAAAAAGTTCGGGACCCAAACATTTGTTCGTTATATATGCGTGTTTCCTATTGTACACTATGACAATAGGGAAAAGGGTATTCATTATGCACGATTTATTTCATTCCATGTTATTAATACTAACCTCCAAGCATCATTTAACTCTTCCGAAAATCGACTATAACAAGAAACCCATCTCCCAATAAAGTTCAATTCCAATGAGATGAAATCATGTCGTAGCGAGGTATTTACCCCCCCCCCCCCTCCAGAAGGTAATACATCTACATCTAGATGAGATGAGATCGTGATGCAGCAAGGTATTTATTTATATTAGGCCTAAATGGCAGATCAAAACTTCGGCGGAAACGGAAGCGGTTTGCAATGATTGAGTCTTTGTGATTATTACAATCCGTGTCCTAGTGATTTTTATTCCAAATAAGATTGTATTTAACCCAACCATGAAAATTTGTGAGATTACACAGAAAATTGTTGAGGTGTGAGACTGGTCGTGTTTTTGTGAGTCTCACGCCAAAATCGTGAGGGTTGGCATCACTGAATACATCTAAATGAGATGAGATCGTGTTGCAGCAAGGTTTTCACCCCCCCCCCCCCAAATGATGGGACAATAGCTGGAGTCCTTACGAGATGTCTCTTCGCACAGATCCCAGCAGGTCCTCCCTCTCCCTCATCTGGCTGATGTTGGCCGACGTCTTCTGGAACTCGTGCGAGTAGTCCTGTAGGATGTCGCGGTGCCGCTGCAAGGTGTGCATCAGTGTCGCGCTGGGCGACGACACCGATATCGTCTGGGTGTACTCCACCATGCGGTCATTTACCTCTGTGAGCTAGCCACGAAACAAGAAAGTTGCTAAATATCATGTTACCAAAAAAAAAAAAAAAAGCCTACCAACTGTGAGAAGAACAGAAGAAAAAGAAAGCTACTTGCTTGCTTAGTTTTAGTAAAAGTTTTACGGCACTTGCAACACAATAAGGTCATATAAGTGCTGAAGATTAGAGGTGTTACAAGAGAGTAACATACACAAAAAAGGAGGAGAGATCAGGATGACAGATATTCTATAGGAAAGAAGAAGCAAACCATACCAGAGCACCTGACAATCACCCACTACATGCTTGTTTTCAGTTTAAAAAAATAATAAAGCCTGATGAAAAGACATCAAAATAATGTGAAAAAATTAAAGACAAATTAAAATTTTCTGACTGAAGATACCAAACTCCAGAATGAACCCCTTTCTCTAAAGAAATAAAACGACAGTTTTGAATTATTATAAATCATCCCAAGTGCCTTTTTAAAAAGTTGATCTGATCACAGGAAGAGTATAGAATAGGTGATCTTGTGACAAATGTACAATAATCAACATGAAAATACAACCATACTCCCATCAGAAATTTGTGCATACAAACACGCACACTAACACAAGGTACATGTAGTTGTGTATGTTATGACACTTACACAATACACGCACATACACGATACACAAACTTTTGTATAACACATACACAAGAAACAAGGAGTTTTTGTAAACACATTAACACACCCACACATGATACATCTACTTGAGCATACAAAAACACCCACACTCACACATACACATGATACATCAACTTGAGCATACATAAACAACACAAACATACATATGTATACCTTGGCTAGGAGCTGAGAGATTTCCATGGCCATCGTGTCAAACATGTGCTCGCTGCTTGCCTTGTTGAGCAGGGGAGCTGTGTCATTGCTGGAGAAGACAGAGAGAGATGGAATGATTTTCGCATTTTTATTCAGTCACTCATTATTTGGAAAGAGAAACGCTGAGATCTAAAGAACAAAAAATACAGTTGGTTCAACTCTGACGGTCAAAGAATGAACAAAGTTGGATACATTCCCATTTCACTTCAGACATTGCTTACAAGAAAAAAAGAATGCTGGGAGAGTGAAGAAGAAACAGTTACTTCGAAATAAGTTTTACTACAGGTTGAAAGAGGAGCAGGGTACAGACAAAAGTGTCACAAATAAAAGCTGCTTCTCACAAAACGAACATCAACAAATATAGTGAAATAGATTAGCTTACTACAATGGAGGAAAATGAAAGATGACAATCAAGACTAAATCAACGAAATAGAAGGACAAAAACCCCAAAAACCAAAACCAACCCAGAAAGAAAAAAAAAGTCTCAGACAGACTTTACGTTGGACGGTAACCCAACAACAGCTGGGAGTTCACAAACTGTATTGCCATCATGTCACATTTCATTCGGAGACCAAGAACTTCGTCACAAAGGTCATTCCAAGCCATCTACAAATCGCTACCAAAAAATTGAAAATACACTTTAAAAACTGAAACGTGCTGACAACATGAGTTACTTCTCCCAATCAGTGAAGGGAGATATCCATTGAAAATCAACACAGGGGTCAAATTTGTAGATTTGATTAGTTTCTTCAAGTCTTTTATGATTTCATACTCATAAATTGTTAGAAAAATCAGCCTATAATTTGAAATATCTGATTTCCATAGTATAGGGTTAAAACCTGAGAGGTAACTGTCATTATGTAAGCAAGCTCCACAAATAAAAGACAGGAGACCTACTCAATACAAATAGTAACAGTGAAAAACATGCACTGTAAAATAAATTCTGTAGTACAGTTAGCCATTTTCCAAGCAGTTTCTTTAATATAATATACAGAAAAGCTGAAGGAAAAAAACCCCAACAACTTATCATTCACAACAGCTTAATGACATGTTTTTCTCTTCACTTGTTAAGGTTTCTTCGACATTAGGGAGTAAAAACTAAAATCACAGAGCTCAAAAATCAATTACAATAAAGTGTAAATAATTAATACAGTCGAACCTGTGTAAGACGGAATAGCAAAGGAGCCAGAAAAAAATTCCGTCTTTTCCGTCGGGGAATTTAGTGGGGAAATGGAGGGGAGGGGGGGGGGGGGGGAGGGTTTGGTACAAAGGCCCAGCTGGTGGGATCAAGGGTTGCTTGTCCGTTCGGCAAGCAATCACAAGTGGTTAAAACTTCACACCTCACAACCACTATCCTCTCTCTGATAATGACATGCGTCAGTCTTATTTATTCAATTACCACCAGTGCTTGCATTTCACAGGACCACTGTTTGACCTATGAAAAACAGAAACGTTTGAACATCTCCTTTGATTCCACCCTTAGCCCCATCCATCGGTGTAATAAGCAGTCAACCAATGCCACCCCTCACTGCCATGCTACAACGACTCCAGGAATTCTTTTCTCGGCTGGCTGTATGATCAGGGATGCAGGCATTGGTCAATCTAATTTCACACCTCTGGCCTCAGGCTACCAATGAAAGTTTCCTAGCTGGAGTGCTACTCGAGCACTTTCACTGGCACTCGTGAGATTTCACACCCACACCATACTGACCATCTTCATTGCTCAGGGCTCACATGAATGGGGTAACATCAACGCCTGTTTTATTAGAGTAGCGTTGGGTAACATCTACCCTCAAATTGCACCCCTACTCCCCTTCCTCGCCCGGCAGCAGAGTTACAAGTATAGAGTCAGCGGACAGAACCAAACATGCAAGTTTTGTTTCAAATCAGGGCTGAAAGGGTAAAACATTTTCCGTCTTACAGGAGGTAAGACCCTTGGAAGGGAGTGGTTTTTTTTTCTGTTTCCGCATTGGGACAGGTTTCCGTTTAATATAAGTAATTAAAGGGGAATATATCAAGGGGAGAGCGGGGAGATTTCGTTAAGACAAGTTTCCGTTTTACACAGGTTTCCATTCAGGCAGGTTCGACTGTAGATTATTCTTTTTTTCCTTAAAAAACTGCCAATGCGTGTTTACTAATGTTAGGTGCACAGAGTTGGGAGTTTCACATACGCAGCAAAATGCATTACTTACTGTGTTGAAAAACAGTGTATAATTATTCATTGAACAACATTCCCACCTACAATAATAGCTACAGTGCTTTCAATTGCTATTTCACTTCTCAGGAACACAGGCAAAAAAAATTTGTGCACTAAGAAAAAGAGAAAAGAAAGAATGACTTACAAAAACCTCTCAGCATATTACCAGACATAAGCAAAAACGACCATGTTTTCCCACAATTATCTCAACTTCCTGTGTCTACATGTGGAGAAGATTTGCAGATGATATTACCCCCTTACACCTACAAAGGGAAGGAAAAATATGTCCAACATGGCTAAAAAGCCATCATACCAGTTAAATTCATAAATGCTGTGGTTTCCATTTAACAGCAATCCCGTTGGGATGCAGGCATTGGTTGATCTTTGACAGAGGTAGCTGCTTACTGAATTTTGAGAGAGAGAGAGAGAGAGAGAGAGAGAGAGAGAGAGAGAGAGAGAGAGAGAGA